CCATGGCTCAAAGGTATCATCCTCGTCTTTTGTACCCCCGAAGCAGAGGAAGCAGGTTGCAGTGTGAGTCTCACAAGACGGAGGCAGCCCCGCAGCAGCCCCAGTCTGAGTGTGCAGCCACTTCACAGTCCACTCCCCTGTTCCTGTCCCCACCAGCCTAACGCAGTGGGGGCAGAACCAGCCTCAGTGCTCCATTGCCCCACAGCTGTTCCACCACAAGAGGACAGCCCCTTTCACATGGCCCAGTGCCCCCAAGACCCCGAAGAGGGAGAGTTTATTTTTGACTCAAGGGCTCTATCTTCCTTGTGAAAGCGGATTTACTGAACCAGAATCTTCTTCCATTTGGTTCTATTTTTTTTTTTCTAGAAAAGTAAACCAAATTAAAATTTTAAAAGCTATTTATTTTTGAATAGATAATACATGTACATGGTACAAAATTCAAAAGGTACAAAAGGTGTACATTGAAAAGTAATTTCCACCCCTCTTCCCAGAGGCAACCAAGGCTGCCAGGTTGCTGGGTATCCTCCAGAGACATCCTAGGCATATGCAAGCAGACATGTGTGCATATGTACATACCCATCTACAGACACACATTTTCCTCCATTCCCAAGCAGTACTATACCATGAGCCTCTCTCCCCCACTTAACCATGCATCTTGGGGATCACTCCATGGCAATACACACACAGCAGCTCCTTTCTTTTAAATTTCTGCAAAATATTCCATTGTATGGACTGGCCCTCAAGTATTTAACTATTTCCCCATATTGGTGGTACTTTCCAACTTTTGCTATTATAATGTTTCAATAAAAATTCTTAAACATAGGAAAAATTCTTAGAAGTAGCATTGCTGGTTCAAAAGGTTTATGCCTTTGCACTGAACCACTGTCCTCCATATAGTTGTACAGTTCACACCTCTGCCAACACCGCATCCGGGGGCTGCTCCCATGGCCTTGCAGTATTGTCCCCTTCTTGGTTTCATGTGACTGAGACATGTCTACCAGCCAAGTTACCTTCAGATTCATGACACATTTTCAACCAAAATATACCTTATCTCTGACATTCATGTGGTCCCTTTTCTATTTTTCCCCCCCTTCATGGGGAGAAAAAAAAATCTGTAAAAGGTAATTCCTTTGAAAGGTTTGAAACCTCTGACAGCTTTTTTCATCCCATCCTTTAAGGTTACAGTATAACAAACACTCTAAGAAAGATCCTCTAAAGTTGATAAATAGAACTGTCTACCTGTTCTCAAACTAAGCATAAATGAGAGGGAGGGTTAAATCTAAATTATGCTAACACAGGGATGCAAGTTGGAATTCGGAGAAGCCATTTTATCGGACCAGACACCTTGAGCTAGATGTGGGGAGACTGGCACGTAGGAGAGGCAAGGCCCCTGCTTTTGTTGCTCTTTCATTCCAGAAGGGAGGGCAGGCAACAGAGAGATCTGCACAGTCATATGTGCCATCAAGACCAACAGCAGGGGAGGGCACAGTGTGATCAGGGCTGGGGGCCGAGTTAAATGGGTTCGTATGTGTACTAGGTGGTCAGGGAAAGCCACTGCCTAAGACCTTGGAGGGGACAGCAGGGCCATGGGCACAGGCAGGTGTGAGCTTGGTACGTCTGGGGAATTGACGTAAGGCTGGCGTGGAGCATCCGCAGCATTCCCCGTGTTAAGTTTGCTGCAGACCAGATATTAAACCCCTGATATTTTTACACAACGTATTTATTGTGAGAGGAGGAGAGACTATTATAGCATCATTTTTTACAGACCATTTTCAGCCCATCGCCATGTATGGTGAAAAGGACCAAGAGAAGGTGTGGGGGATCAAACAAGGCACTTCCCCTGGCAATGCCCAGCCAGCTAATGGACAGATCATGGCACCCCATCCTACTGGGCTCTTCCCTGTACTATTCTGTATTAAGATGTTCTTTTACCTTGAAGCCAATACTAGCTATGAGTATATCACAAAGCACTTACTTAAAGTGTTCTTCCTCAAAGCATGTTTTAAGCCAACTACCTGCATTTCAAAACAGGAGACTCAACTCAGCCAAAGTAACTGTTAACACTTGCTGCTAGAATGGTGAGTTCCCTCAAATTGATCTTCAGTTCCCCGCAGAGTGGGCCAGATGAGACCATCCAAAGCATCAGACATGCACAGGGCACAAGTTATGGCCACTGCTCACTGTCCAAACTGTCCTTTCAGGCAGGTCTGCTTTGGTCACTACAGACATGAGCAGGGCCTGTCAGTGTCACAACTCCAAAGTCACGGGAATGGCACTTTGTGAGGTAGTAAGAGGGCTGCCTGAAGGCCTTCCCCACCCTCTGCTGAGGTTTCAGAGGTCCCAAAGGGCTACGGTGTTGTCAGGCAAGGGAGAGACCTCTGACCCGTACCTGCCCTTCTGCCTCTGGTTGTGCTGCCAGTCTCAGTAGACACTGTGGCAGGACCTAGCTATCCTCAAAATATGAGCTGCAGACCAAGAACCCAGATAAAACTATGAACTTCAGACTCTGACAAGAGCTACGCCTGACAAACTTGGAATCTGCCCTCTGTTAAAACACAGCTCATGTGTGACTCTGGCAAATGTTTTCTAACACTCTGCACCTCTCTCTAGCAGAATCGGCAGACACCGGTTATCAAGGAGAGACTGACCACAGGCCAAGGAGACTACAAAAAAAATGTCCCGTCTCCCCAGGCAGCTTGTGATCATCTTGTCTTTACCTGCTCACAGCAGCTCTGATTCTGGTTTAAAGCAGGGCAGCCCCATGTACTCTTGGGAAGCATGTGGGTAGGAGGGGAGCCCCCAACCCAGAGGCTGGCTGAGAATCCAGGGCATCAGGCAACCAGCCGTGGCAGCCCGCCTGCTAGCAAGCTCTCTGCGCTGACTGAGCAGGGAGAACTGTCTGCTTCCTGGGGAAACCTGGCTCCTCTTGAAGCACACATTTTAAAAAAGTAACTTAAGGATGTTCCCTCTCTTCCCTTTAACTCTGGAAAAACCTGTAGGCTTATAACACACCACCATACTATGGCTGGGCACACAGAGAGCCATGGCCCTGGGAGGACCCCCTTCTCCTCCCCAGGTGGCTTCTGAAAGCATCAGGGGACTCGGGGCATCTCCTGTAAAGCCTGACTGTAAAATACACATAATGTCCTAATTACTTATAAGGCACCATTCATACTGCAGGTTTTCTGCAGAAAATGTGGAATTCCTAAGACTGGCTTCTGCAGTCTAACTCAAAGTGTGTTCATGCAACAAAAACATTTATTACATATTTCTATTAGGCCTTGTTGATTAAGAAAAGGGAAGAGATATCTACAGGCACCTCTACACCAAAAGCAAACCAAATGAAACCCTTGAGAAACACAGCCCAAAATGTATGTCTCTACTTTCAAACAGAATTATTGGTTGCTGTGGATTAGTCATGCCATACTTTCCCCATCGACGCAGACAGGTGGACTCCAGTAACCTCAGAATGCCACCCGCTCCTGCCTCCCTACCACCTGTGGACAGTCAAATAGTCTAACTGCTCACAGAGTTCAGTCAGCCAGGGCTGGGGCCAGGAGCATCCATCAAGGTAAAGGAGATGAGTCTCTGAACCTGAAATCACTTCAAACAAACTGCTGCCTCCTTCCCCTGTTCTCAAAGCACTGGCTATTCTTTTGCAATTACTTGCTTCAGCGTTACCGAGCCCTTTCAAAACCCCCACAGGACCCTGGCCCAGGGACCAGCCAAGGTGGAGCTGCGCAGAGCCTGGGAAGCTCTGGCACGTGGCAGTGCCATTTTGGACGCTGCTGCTTCCACCTGGCTCACGCAGGCCTTGCTGGCCCCGACACAGAAACCAGTGGCTATCATTAATCCATTATCATTATTATTATTAAATCTGTATACATTAGCTATGCATAAGGGAACTAAAAATGAACACAATATTTCTGTGCCTGTGCTGAATGCCTCATTTGCCTGACACTTTTAGGCTTTTCTGTTTTATGGTCCAAGCCTGCTCACTGGTATGTGTGTGAGGTTTACGTAGGATGAAGCGCAAGCCTCCTGCTGGGGTTTACCACACATGACTGAGTTGGACTCCTGAGGGCCAGCACAGGAAGACCTCTGTGATTTGCAGCGCTCATTTCTAAGGATAAAGTTAACCCCTTAGCTACCCTCAAGACTCTCCAAAGTCTCGCCCCAGCCCATCTTTCCAGACTGGTCTCTAGAGCCTCGTGCAGAGACTGGCTCATCCCTTCCTCTCCCAGCATGCTCTGTATCCCCCGCACCCTCTTGAGTTTTTAATCATAGTGATCTTCATCTAAAATGGCCTTCCTGCCTATCTCTGCCTATGAACATCCTATTTCCCCTTCAGATTTAATGCAAATGCAGCCTCCTCCATGAAGCCTCCCTGGATCTCTGAAAACCCCACTCCTCTTCCTCCTGACCCCTTGTGGGATCTGCTCTTTGTCTTCACTCTGCTGCCCTGAGTGCAGTGAACAGTGTGCATCTCTCTCCTTGTTCAGACCTGTCTACAGCGTAGGCATATGGGATGTGCCTTCAATGAGGGGATGCACAGGCCCATCCACGTATTGCCTGTGACTTGAATGACAGTTGGGGCAAGGGAAGGTGTAATTTTTATGGAAGCATTCTCAATATAAGCCCTATTTTCAATTTTTTTTTTGGGAAATAAACTTGAGTGACATATTAGGATTAAGCCAACCGCACCGAGCTTTCATGCTAGTCGCTATGTCATCCAAGCCTGCTGGCCAGCACCTGGAGGAGCCAAGGACAAAAGGCAGCACAAGCAGGTGAAGGGCCCAAGGGACTGACACTCACATGGGCTGATCATTCAGCTAAAAGCCTTCTGTTCACTGAAAAATGTCTCAGATGGCCAAGCTCGGGGTCCAGTAGGCCACATCAGCTCCCCCGGCCACCTGCTAGATGCCTGCAGGGTAGGAACTGCTTTCTGCTTCTCTGGCTCTCCCCTGGTGCTCACTTCTCAGTGGTTGCTCAATTAATACTTGCTAAACAAATGAATTTTTCTTTATTCAGCGTCCATACAAGTACAGGTACCTCATAAGTGCAACGTTACTGGAGAAATGAAAGTTGAATCAACACAGAGAACAAGTTCTGCCCATATTTCTTCAGAGATGATGGGTGTTATCAAAGCCAGTGTTTACACCGTCTGATTCCATCAACAGCAGCCAACACAGAGATGAAATGGAAGCAAAGAGAAAGAAAACATAAAGGGTCTTGAAATCATTACACCTGCATCTCTCTACTGTCGCTTTCAGGACCATTTCATGATCTTGTAGTAGATACATGGTATTTAAAAAACAAAAATCAATGACATACAAAGATGGCTGCGGATGTTCAGGAGGCCTTGGCTTTCACCTTGGACAACAGCACCTCGTTCTTGCGGCCCTCCTGGAGGGAAGCAGAGAAAGTGAGTGTACAGAGAGGTGGTGACTACATTAACATTCGTGTGAGGCCCACCCTTCCCCCAAGTCCCGTGGGAGACACCTTCAGACAACTAAACCAGTCTCCTAGCACACTGCCACCAGCATGGTGAAACTTTCTGGTGACCTATTGACCTTTAAAACCAAAACAGCTATAATGATGTTGTTTCTGGGTTGCCAGGTGAGAATAGGATGAAAGGATTAGGTATTGTCATTCCAAAAGACTTCATGAAGTCTCTAAAATCTTCAAGGGCACCGAAGTAGAAAGTACTCTTATCTGCCAGTCTTGGCCTACTATGCTGAGGAAGTGGAGAAGGGGCTTGGAGACAGCAGCCTAAGGAGTCACAAAAGGCAACCCTAGTTTACACAGCAGGCAAACACACAGAGAAGTTCTAACAACAGTGAAGGCTAGGAATAGTCTTAGCTTTAAGAAATCACATAAAATAGGATGAGAGATATTCATCAAGGGATACCTCCCTTTCCTTAAAAACAAGTTGTATGAACGCAAGGGTTACCCGTGCTGAGGGATATCACTGAGGGAGGTCACTGGCACCGTGTCCTGTCTATGGAATCTAATGTCCAGTGCGCAAGTCACCACTGAAACATTTTGTGTTCCATTCTTTGGTCATCTTCAAAAGCTGCTCACTGTGTACCCTTCTGCCCTTGTCCCTACTGGTCTTGATAGCTCAGGACCCCTCTATCTGCTAGCAGACCTCCGACAATCCCCAACTCCCTTCCCTGAGCTGGTCACGAGGAGTCCTACTTTTAAATTAGGAGGTTAAAGTGGCAATGGGAAGAGCCCAGAGAGCTAGAGCTCACAGAGAGCCCAAGCTTGGCAGTGGTCAGGCCTGCAGTAGCTGTGCTTTCCTGGAGACACATTCATTGTGGGAAAAAAAACTTTTTTACCCCGAACTCTTTGCATCCAAGACCCCCAAAGTCAATTTTTCCACCTCCCCGGGCTGGGTTCAGGTGTTCCCAGCTCTCTGGAAGCCCTCTGCTCTTTTTGGCAGTGCTGAGGCAGCATGACTGCAATGACCTTGGTCTTAGTGAGTGCTGGTTCATTTGTAGGGTTTAGACTTATCTTCCACTTGGAGAGCTGGGAATAGCTGGGTGCTGGGGCTGGGGGTAAGCATGAATTCTTCTGTACGAGTGTCAAAAGCAAGGTACTCTGACACCTTTTGAGCACATTTTTTTTTGGAGGGGGAGGCAGTTGATTTTTTGGGGGGTGGTTGGGAAAAGAAATAAGATGATGTTTGGTTATATTTGTTGTATTAGAAAAGAAGAAAGTTTTCCTTTTTAAAATAAATTACTAAGATTTGCCTGGGGAAAAAAATCTCTAGGTTAAAGAAAAAGTGGAGAGAGAAAAAGATGGAACAAGAACAGGCAGATAGTTACACTATTATATTGTTATACTACTCTCTCCTTTTGTATATTTTTGAAGATTTCTATAATACAAATGTAAAATATATAAATTAGTTCAACTGTTACCCTACTCACCTTTTAAATGAGGCAAAAGTAACTCAGGAGCATCAAAACACTCCTGCCATAAAGAGTCCCCACCATGAGTAAATTCCGTGTATCGCGCACACTGAAATGATGTTTAAATCTTTCAGTAAAGATATCCTATACTGTCACCTGGTGAACACCAGGTTCATTAAATTTCATGCAATCTACTAGAAGTCTTTTGGGAGACTACAGAATGATACTGTCTGTCTTTTCAAAGCAAATACAAAAAAGGCCCTTTAGGTATTTCTTTCTTAAAAAAAAAGGGAAAATGTTTCATTGCCTCTGTCTCTTTCCTTTTTAGACTATATCCAGGCCCACCATGTACCAAACCAGTGAGCTCAGTTTGCTCAAAATTATGCACCCAAAGCCAGCTTCATAAAAATGTAGGGTTTGCATTCATCAGTGCTATGTTAGAATTTAAATCTTAGTTTCATGACCTTGTAAGAAACTGTGGTTTAGAGACACAATTACTGTGATTAAGGTGATTTCACAGTGTGTTGTTTCCTGGCAAATTTGTAATTAAACTCTACTAGGGTGAGCAAGTCATTAGGGTTTTAGAGAAAACCCAATGTCTCTAATCAAAAAGTTTTGATATCAGAGGAGGCTGGGAGTCAGGATGAGGTCATGATTTGATGCCCAATTAATGTGGGGTAAACCAAGCCCACTAAAAGCAACTACTAAGGGGTCAAAAGACCATGTTCTGGACAACATTAAGCTTTCACTGAGTATGGTGGCTCATGCCTGTAATCCTAGCACTTTGGGAGGCTGAGGCAGGAGGATCGCTTTAGGCCAGGAGTCTGAGACTAGCCTGAACAACATAATGAGACCCCATCTCTAAAAAAAAAAAGAAAAAAGAAAAAAGAAAACATTGTGCTCTGCATAAAGAATAAATAATTACTGCCCAGTACATGAGCTAGGCATCACAATCACAATGCAATGAGAATTCAGAATACAGGAGGATAAAACCAACAGGGGAAGCGTTAAGCCCCCTTAACACTTCCAGCAAAGAAGGCAGAACAGAGAGGATTCTGGGAGAAGGCTGGGATGAAAGTACAGCTTTTCTAACTGTTTTTCTGCCACAAGTAAGATCTTACCTGAAATTGCAATATGTAAAACCGAAAAACAGCAGAATTAGCGTGGCTGAAGGCATGGGGTGGAGACTGGGGTGTAGCCCCCATCGCCACCTCCTCCTCAATCCCTGTGGTAGCCCCAAAGTACCTCAGAGGAGCAGGTGGGAGAAAGTTTAAGATTTTGGAATGCTGACACGTGGCTGCCAATTTAAAACTTTTGCCAAGCAAAATGCTTAAAAAAGAAAGGACTACCCACCAGCACCATTATAAGACAAAGGCAATTTTAACAACAAAGAATGAGAGGACATGATAGTTTTTTTAAAGGTAAAATACATTTAAATGAAATATTCAAGAACATATTGCATTCCTCCCACCCCCATTTTTCTTTAACTTGCTTTGGGCTGAAGAAAACTTAGGCATGGGCAAGCATCTGTCTCGGGGTCCCAGCCAGCTCTGAACGAAGCACCCCAGTCTCTGCGAGAAACTGTGCGTGTAGGTGGGAACGTGGGACTCTCCAGGCTTAATACGTCGGAAGGAGCTGTTTCCTACGAGTTCAGCCTAAGCCCTCACCTGAGAGCCTGCAGTGCAAGAATGAGCTTTTTCCATTTCGTTTTTATTTGCTTTGATTTTGACAGCTTACACTTATCTTCCTCGACTTATTTGCTTTTTGTTTCTATATAGTCAAAAGGGAGTGCTGGCATGTCCAAGAAATACGTGAAATGTAATTCTCTTCTGGGCCTTTTCTGTTCGTGAGTTATTTGGATTAAAGGGAAGAGTGAACTCCGAAGGGAGAAGCGGGTTCCTATTTGTTTCCTGCCAGCTCACTCACTGGCCTTCCGGAACTCCAACCTTGCCAGCCACGAGGGTTCCCAGACTGGAGCACCTGGCCTGGTCCCTCCCCTGTGCTGTCATCAGGGCCATCCCACATGCTGCCCTGGATGAAGACTGCCAGATTTCCACACTGTCATTGTGCTATTTCCCTCCACAGACCAGGGGAAAACCACAAAACTGCTCTGTTTTTAAAGGCTCATCTTTAGGAGAACGTAAATCTCACTTTAGTCTTAACAGGCCCCGCCCAACCTTCCTCTTACCTCCTTGAACTCTTTCACAGTCTTAAAGTATAGCCTCTGTTTTTCTAACAGTTCCAAGTACTGGTCGTTCAAATGGTCTCTTCTCATTTTGTTCTCTTGCTTCTTCTTTTCCATCTGTTGAAACGTTTTGGGAAATGTTGATGAAAAGGCATGTTCTGACCAAGGGCTGCTGGCAACATCCAAAAGGCAATCTTACTAACATTTTCATGGATTTATTCTGGTATTTTCCTTCTGCACATAATTTTTCAGGTTGATTTAGTTGCATAATACTACACGGAGGCTGTATGATTTATTCAGCAATTCTTCTATCATTGGACATTAACTGTTTCCATTTTCTTTTTTGGTCATTAGAAATTCACAATACACAGGCTAGCGATTCTCAACTGGGGGCTATTCCCCATCCTCCCCTGGAGGATATCCGGCAATGGCTGGAGATAGTTTTGATTGCTATAACTGAGAGGAGAGGGTTCTACTGGTATCACCGGGGAGAGGCCAGGGATGCTACTAAACATCCTACAATGCACAAGGCAGCCCCCCACCACAAAGAACTATCTGCCCCAAAATGTTAGTTGTATTGAGGTTGAGAAATCCTGATTTAAATAGTTGTGATCACACAATAAAACTGTATATCCAATTTTCATTTAACATGTTATCTCTATGTTATTATAAACTTCATACAATTATAATTTATAAAAACAACACAATATTGCTCATCATTGTTTACTTACCCATCTTTCTACTGGTAGGAAATTTAGAGTGTTTCCAGGATTTTAATTTCATAAATAGAAGCTAGACTTTGATTTAAAGAGACTTTTCTAAGGTACCTAAAAGCTTATTCTTTCAAGAAATATTGACTGAACACTTACTGAGTACCTGTATGTAGTGGAGAACAGGGCAAGGTCACTGCTCCCACAGAGTGTACATTCTAGAGAAACTGACACCAAGCAAGTACTCTAACAAACAGATACACATTAAAATTCCCAGTAGCGATCAGTACTACGAAGAAAATGAAACAGGGTTAGGTACTAGAGGAGGGTGGGTACATGTATGGCCTCTTCAGACTGGAAAGCCAGGGAGGGCTCTCTCAGGGGTGACACTTGAGCACAGCTGGTGGTGCTATGTGCCGTATTTCTAGAAGATAAACCCAGAGTGTCAGCCAGCCGGGAAATGAGGGCAGAAAGAGTT